AGGGGATGCCTTATGCATGTGAAGATGATCTTGGATGATTATTTTTTCCACAGACTCCACACTAATCTTGACATTTGGGCTAGGTGGAGATTTTCCAAAATGACAATCTCTACTTGCCTGGATGGTGTGCTCATCAATAGCAGAGTGGGGTCGCCCTGGAATTGGAGCTGTTTGCAGTGAAATTCGACTATATTTGAATTGACGATGCCAGTTCTTGACTACATCATATGATGGGGAATCATCCCCATAAAACTCTTCAATCTCATTGAATGTCTCCTTTGGTGTGCGGCCTTTCGAGGAAAGGAACTTAAGTACTGCTCAGTATTCCACTGGGTCCATTATCAAACCTCACACCACTTCAGCACCCACAAAATCAAGACCTGAGTTGTAAATTGGCATGTAACCTATAGAGACTTAGATCATTACACATGTGCAGTTTCAGTGTCCTGTGATAAATAGAAGTGGGTCAGGGGAAATTTATTTATTTATTTATTTCATTTACTTATACCCCGCCCTTCTCACCCCGGGGGGGACTCAGGGCGGCTTACAGTGGGGGCACAATTAGATGCCCAAGGCAATTCACAAGCAATACAAATACAAACAATTCAACAATTAATTAAAAACATCAATACATAATAAAATCATAAAACAGTCTCATGCTCAGGGTTCAGAGTCCATATATCCATTCCATTCCATTTGTCCTTGTCTATCATCAGATCCTTCAGTTAGCTGTCAGAATGACCAAAGGCTTGATCCCAGACCCAGGTCTTCAGTCTTTTCCTAAATGCCAAGAGGGAAGATGACGATCTAATCTCCCCGGGGAGTGAGTTCCACAGGTGGGGGGCCACCACTGAGAAGGCCTTCTCCTCGTCCCCGCCAGCCTCACTTGTGACAGTGGCGGAGTCGAGAGCAGGACCTCCCCAGAAGATCTTAAGCTTCGAGATGGGATGTAGAGGGAGATCCGTTCGGACAGATACACTGGGCCGGAACCATATCGGGTTTTGTAGGTCAAAACCAGCACTTTGAATTGTGCTCGGAATTGGATCGGCAGCCAGTGATAGATGGCCATCCAGCCTCTGTTTAAACATTTCCAAGTAAGGTGCTTCCATCAGATTCCAAAGGAGCTCTTACAATCAGGAAGTTCTTATGTTCAAGTGGAATCTCCTTTTCTGTCATTTGAACCCATGGCTCCTTTGAGTCCTAGTCTCCAGGGCAGCCGAAAACAAGCCTGCTCCCTCTTCTTTATGGCACCCTTTCACATATTTATACATGGCTCTCATGTCTTTGGAGAGGCTGCAGTCAGCTTCCCGTCCAGTTTTAAGCATGGACGTTAAACATGTGCCTTGTGTTTTTATCTCTGTGTATTTTAATATGTATTTTCTAGAACCACAAGGAGAGGCGAATAAGAAATAATATTACTATTATACTAGGCCTCCCCTGCCAGGCATTGCTGTGGCCCAGTCTGTGTATATGTGTTTTGTGTTTGTATATATTTGTGTATATATGTGTTTTCGTGTATATATAAAATTTTGCACATGTGTTGTAATGTATTTTTTGTTTTTTGGCTTTTTAAGTCCCTCCCACTGTGTTTTTCAGTGTTTTTATGAGTCCTGGTCACTTGTTGGCCTGATAGGTGTATTGTTTCCAAATTTGGTGTCAATTCGCCTAGTGGTTTTTGAGTTATGTTAATCCCACAAACTAGCATTGCATTTTTATTTATATAGATTAGCAAAGACTTTCATGGCTGGAATCGTTGGAGTGTTGTGTGGTTTCCAGCTGTATGCCCAATGTGTTCTAGCAGCATTTTCTCCTTTTCCCATTTTCGTTTCGCCTGCATCTGTGGCTGGCCTCTTCAGAGGATCTGATGGTGGACAAGCAAGTGGGGTATACATAGACCTATGGAATAATGTCCAGAGTGGGAGGAAAGAACCCTAGTCTGTTAAACTAGTATGAAGGGTGAAATTAGCAAGCTCGGAAGTAGCCTGGCCTTTGGGATGCTGTGAGTTTTCTGGGCTGTATGGCCA